TATATATACTATCAGAATACTTTATTGATCCCCGGGGGGAATTGCAATTATTACAGCTGCAATTTTTCAAGTAAGCATTAGAGATAAAATATAAAGGAAAAAATATTACAGCACACTAGAAAAAATAAGTATAAACACTCCAGAGAACCCAATGAACATAGAAAACAATAAGCAGCATACTTTGGCATCTATACAGTGTAAATAGAAAATAAAAAAAGATATACTCTAAAGCTAAAAACAGCATGGCTGATGCAGAGGTCTCATCAAATATATATAATTAAATCATTTATGTAGAAGATCTGTTTCTTTAATCACTACTGTGGTCTTGTTTTTTTATTAGTATTATTGTTACAGATATGATTTTCTTTTCTTCATATTTAAAAGTCAACTAGGTGGTTAAAAGGTTTTATAGTTTTCCGAGATTATTTACAGTTGATCTCAGTGTTTTAGCTTTCTGAAATTAGACTTTTTTGGTCATGAAATCTATGTTTTCATAGAAAATGAGTTACTCTAACTTCTTCATTACTCTGAGATTTTGTCCTATTATTTGTTACAAAAGTTGCTTTAAATTTAAACTATTTTTTCTCATTCTTAGTTATTTGAAATCAGTTACTTTCATTTAAAGTTATTTATTCAAGCATTTTGTTCATAATTTCGTACAAAAGGATTTCCAATGAGAGATGTTTGGAAGCTAAAATGATAAAAATCACTGGTCATTTCTGTTCTCTTCAAATCAGTATTTATTCTGCTGTGTGTTTATTGTGTTGTAAAGTTTGTGTGTGCTGCCGTGAGGAGATGGTGCTGATGTAACAAAAAGGCTTCTTGTGCGTTTCTGAGCAGAAAGGCTCATCTGGTAATCTCTGGTGACTTGTTTCTGTCATTGCTTTGTCATCATTGCACAGATGACACTCGTGTCAAACGGTCCTGTGGGAGCCTGCTGTGTGTGTGTGTGTGTGTGTGTGGTAGGGTGGTGGCGGCGGTGGTGAGGGGTTATTGAGGTTAAGGGGAGCTAATTTCACGCCTTTTTATTTGCTCTGGTCTCAGGAGAGAGACTCTCTATAAGCATTATCACTTCCAGCTGGTTCAAATGGGACAGACGGGACGGGACCAACACGCTCTTTTGTCTTTGTCCCGCTCCTGTTTCATATGATGATGCCTTCAAGCACAAAGTCACAGACATACAGAAGCTTCGTTTTGTGGAGGAGAAACAAACAAACAGCGAAATTTCACACTTTCTTGGCCTTGACATTTTCTTTTTGTGTAAAATGTTTTGTCTTAAAAATGGTCATGTAATGACCCTGATCATTAAATACATGACAGCAGAAGTTGTGTTGCTTATCATGTTTGGTTTCCTTTTAAGATCATAATAATTAAAAGTCTTCTGTGTCATGATCTCATTTTATTTCTTATTATTTCACTGTCTCACCTGCAGGTGCATCTACGATCCGCAGAGCGCCTCCGGGACTTGTGTTGCGCCAACCGGGGGACTTTCATCAAAGTGGGCCAGCACCTCGGCGCGTTGGACTACCTGCTGCCTGAAGAGTACACGTCGACCCTGAAGGTGCTCCACAGCCGAGCGCCTCAGAGCAGCATGGAGGAGATCCAGCAGGTCATCAGAGAAGATCTGGGGAAGGAGGTGAGGCCTCATTGTGTTTCCATCAGGGAGGCTTTTTTTTTTCATTCTAATATGTTTCATATTCGGAAAAAAATGCCTCAGTTACACAGAATAGTTGCAAAATTAATTTTTTATAATAGCACGTCCAAGAATACGCTTTAATATGTTATGTCCACCACTGATCACATGACCTCTACTTACTGTAATGAACAAAATTATCACAACAGATTATTTAAGCCTTTCCTGTATTTCTTTTGGAATATTGTCTGTAGCGCCATCTACTTACTAATTTAACATTATTCTTTATTTGACCAAAAAGCCTAATACATGATCATTTTAAACATAAGATTATCTTTGTTTAAAATTCAAGCGTGAAGGAAGTGGGGAATATGTACTCCTTTAAAGTGCCTGTGACATCAAATTTTTGTAATAAATATGAACACATTTTTGGAAAGATAACATTAATAACATATTGCAAAACTAATTTCACACTGCTGCGATGAACAGTTGTTGAGATATTTGCATGTGAAGAAACAGGAAGTGACATCAAAGGGGAATGTCTGCTTGTGAGTGTTGCTACAACAGCTAACACAGACTGTAGAGAAGAATCTGATGTTTCTTTAGATGATTTTTAGTCACCATCAGAGAAATGAAGAGCAGTTAAAGCTTAATTTTTGTTTCAAAAAAGACTAGAGTTGTGTTTCTTAAAGAGCTCCCCTTTGATGTCACTTCCTGTTTCACTTTAGCTGAGCCAAGTTCAAAAGAAAATATGCGATTTATGGGACAAAATAAGTAAAAATCATATGTAATATGCAAAGTTTCTTAAATATAAAGTTGTTTTCTTTGACTTTCTGTATTTGAAGGATATATACACGTCACAGGCACTTTAAGGAATGGAACCTTTTAGTTCACCATTTCTTTACACAATTCTGATCAATACTTGGTTGAATATTTAGGTTGCAGTGACATATCCCTCAGGAGTTTCTAATAACAGAGCAGCATTATATTCATAAAGCAGTGTCAAAATCTACAACATAATGCTTGTGTGATCTGCTGGAAAACATATTCAAACTAAGTGTGCTGCAGGTAAGACACTGACTACTCAGAACTACCACACAGAATCCCACATAAAAAAACCTAAATCCATTTAAAGAGGAGACCCTGATCTTGTTTGTGTGCTGAAAGAAAGAGAAAGGACAAACATCACAGAAGGACACAGTGTCCTTGTTTGGTTCTGTAAACGATTACAGCTGCTGTTAGCACAGAGCGCAGTGTTTGCTCTCAAACTAGATGTTATGATGACGGCCTTTTAGGGCCTGCAGGAGGCGAGGTTGTTACTCTGTTGTTCTCAGATACATCGATCCACCTCTAACACACACTCCTCCCTGGTGGATTTCAGTTGAAGTACATTAAACCAACAGAGTCAGTAAAAGAGATGATCTTCCCCGCATATTTTGTGTTTTTGGCATCTATTTATTAGTGATTATCTAATCTGCCTTTAATACAGTTTGGTGCATTTGTTGACTCTGGATAAGAGGCCAGCACCATCTGACATGTGATGGGAAGTATTTCAAAGAAAGTAGAAGGAAGCAGTGTTAATAAGCATATAATTAAGAGAAACATTGGATTTTTGAACCGTCTTCAAATCTGCATCATCTTTTTGCGTCAGCACACCTGCAGCAGCTCTAAAGCCCTCAGATAAAAATGACAAATTATAAGTTTCTTGTTATTTTTGTATCTGAACAGTTATTCAAAGTGTTCTCTTCTAATGCAAAGTCACCGTATAACGTTTCCTCAGTCTTGTTCATGTTATTAAAAAAAAACGTGCTCATTGGGTTTGATTTCTCCTTTTTTATGTGTGGGGCGTCATTATCTCTGAAAAGGCGGTAATATGACTCTTGTGTGTAGAAAGCGGGCGGCAGGATGAATCAGCCCTCCTCTTTTTTTTTTTTTTTTTTTTTTTGGAGTGGTTGGAAAAGAATCAACGCTGATGAGCTGTTCCAGGCGGCTCCGGAGTCGAAGGGGGCGCAGCTCCAGCATCATTTCCGTTCCACTGAGCTTGCCTCTCTTTTTTTTTTTCTTTACAGCGTGGATAGTGTCTTATAGAAGCAGTGAGCGGAGCGGAGTGTGTGGTGCCGTGCTGTTTTCAGCACCATTTGTGGTGGCATATGCATTCCCACTGTGCACAGATCTGGAGCAGGGTCCTGGCTGCCGTTTCTCCTCTCTGGTGAATCAGCTGAAAAGGCCTTTCTGTGTGCAATATGTTGTTTCACCAAACACAATCCAGGACAAATGTCACACTTAGCTGGTGCTGAAGCGTGACACCAGAGAACATGAGTGCACCGTGGGTATTTTGTTGGGTGGTGTAGGTGTGGGGACATCTGTGGACACGGCGATTCAGGAAGTGGAGGTGGTTCTTGTAACTAAACTGCTACGATCCACAAGGAGCCAAAAAATTCAAACCAGAGGGAGCCAAATGTTTTGGAACCAGACTGGAAAACACTCCATGAATTCTTAYTTTAACACGTTTTAGAAAAAGATCTGTTTTATATCAGTAATATTTTATATTCATCATCATTTGATGTGTTTTGTTTAAACGCTGGTTGTGTTTTATGGTTTTGACCTGTTCTTTAAACCGTAATGTTTCTGTTGTTTTACTCAGATTTTTGTGACTGGTTTGTCACACAGTGATTCACTTTGTGATAGTATCAGCAGATATATTTGAGTTGAGCTAAAAATAAAAGAGTCAACATATATTTACAAACCTTTAGCTATTTAAAATCCAACATTCTTTGAAGGAATCCCTGCCACCTGCAGCCTTTAACACCAAAGTTTTAGACTAAAGTCATGTGATCAAACCTGGAAAGTGATGTTAATATAATGAGATGTCACACTACGAATGCTAAATAATAATAATGCTAAAGTTTAGTCAAAGATTTTGCACAATGAATAGAGTAAATGACTTTCAGCTACGATTAAACCACAATTTAGCACAATATCTGTAAAACTAACTACGATTAAAGGTTGGTTAGCTGTGGCAGCCATATTGAATCTTGCTAACTTCAACAGTTTATCTGTTATGGTAGTCTATCTTAAAATACATTCTGAAACTATGATTTAAATTGGTGTAATGACTCATCAGATATTTTGCTAACAGTATAGACCAGGGGTCTGCAACCTGCGACTCTGGGGCCACATGTGGCTCTTTAGTCCCTCTGCAGTGGCTTTTTGAAAATGTGACTAAACATAACAGAATTTTATTTATTTATTTATTTATTTATTTATTTGTTTGTTTGGGGGGGGGGGTTACCCACAACAGAAATCAGTTTGTATGCAAACATGTGATCAATACTAATAATACAAAAAATAATGTAAAAGTAGCATGTTAGCTCATGCTAGCCTGTTGTTAATTTAAATATTCCAATGACTTTCTCTCTTTCAAATCCATCAGAATTAACTTTAAACAATTTGAAGACTATAATCATAAGAATTAGAAAATAAATACGCCTGAATAATTCAGATGTACTAGTTTTAATGAAATTCAGTATAAACTATATATAGTATTTTTCTTTACATGAAAATGTTCTTTTTATTTGTCCTGATGTGTATAATAATAAATAATAATATAATAATAACAATATTCCTTTAGTTTTATAATGTCACCTCCACTGACCTTAAAAGTTCCCAAAAAGGCCTTGAAAAGGCCCATGGACCACCAGTTGACAATCACAGTTGTAGCTTGTTTTGCAGCTCTGGACACATTTTATTAGTGAGACAAGGAGCAGAAATGGCTCCTTTGATCGTAAAGGTTGCAGACCCCTGGTATAGACAAATGAAAATAATCACTTCGTGCTCCGTCTTTCCGTTCCACAGTGAGTGATAATGATAAGAGACAAACTCCTGTTTTTCCTTCCTCCAGTAGAAATAATCCAGTCCAGCTCTGCTGATTTAAACAGCAGCATATAGATGTTTCATGTGCAGCAGCTGTGAAGGAGCAGCTGAAGGCGGAGCTACCTGCGGTGCTGCGTCTAAAAGCAGGAACTCACAGCAGAGCAGCTGATGAGGGTCACAAAGCTCGGGCAGGGGGGTCACCATGGTTGGACTGAAAGGTGTGGGGGTCCAGATTTAAGTACAAGTTTAAACGTGAGAAAATTTTAAAAAATAAGTCCGTTAATGGGACGAGACAATAAAAACTGGTGGAAAAACTTACCAGTGAAGCTGTTAGGCTGTGAAAACTTACCTGAATTTTAAAAAAAATGGACTGATGGGATTATAAACTACGAAAGAGGATTAAGGCCACTGAAAAGAAAAGAAAAATAATTCTGACTTTTCTCAGAATTAGGAAAAAGTTAGAATTATTTTTTTTCAGTGACCCTAATCCTCTTTTGTGATAAACAGATGGGTTGAATTATGAAAAGTTTTTAGTAGATTATTCTGATTTAAGTAATAAAATAAAAGTAATTATTGACACTGTGAAGCTAAAATACAGGAAGAGGTGACCATTATCAATGCAAAGCGTAAAATCTAAACTCATTTATTTATTTTTTCAGTTTTTGCCACTTCAGTTTTATAGAAAATAAAATATTATGAACTCTGGTAGAAACATCTGCTTTTAAAACTTTTCCTTTAGCTGTTAAAGTCAACTGTCTGTCAGTAAAATATTTCCTGAACACCTCTTATTTTAAGGGAAGCAGCAGAATGTAATGATTCGGTTGGCATCAGCAGCTAAATAACTTTTGAGACACTTTCTGAGCACCACAGCAAACTGACATTAGAAAACAGAAAATCTGGTAAAGTTCACACAGTTTTCCAGATAATGACCTAAAATTATTAATTAATGCGAGATTAGCATGAGATTGTCCATGATACAATTATCAACCAAAACATTTACTCTGTCAATATCCAACACAAGATGATTTTAGTTTAAAATGAATTACTTTGACACGTAAATCTTTCAATTAAAGGAAGCTGTAATGAAATTTATGAATTTAAAATTATTATTTACAAAGTATTTTTTTCATTGGTACAATCTCTTTTATTTCCTTCCATCTCTCTGCTCTGTAATGATTTATGTATTTCCACCCAGCTGGGGCCGTGGCTCGCTGCCAGCAGCCAAACGGGCCACCTYTCCTCCGTGACACAGGCTCCGATGTGTTGTCATCCAACCGCGAGGCCTCGGGGGCCGTTTTATTTGTGCCATAACTCATTTCAGGGAACGTATGTCACCGAGGGGTCCGCGCTGTGGGAGCGGGACCCGATCGCGTGCATTACCATGTTTATTAACTCCACAGCTGAGTTTAACATGAGCAGGGACTGGGTGGCAGAGCGGCGTGGTGAATCAGAGGCCACAAACCAAACGCTGCTGCAGACTCCTGGAGTTCTTTTTATATACAGCGGGTAAAATAAGTAATGAACACGTCACCATTTTTCTCAGTAAATATATTACTAGAGGTGCTAATGAC